TAACTGATTTTGAAAGATTGAAGATGGCAACTTCTCGTTATACACAAAAACTATTTAAATAAATTAGATACAGTTTCACAACCTGTACAAAACATCGCGGAAAATCTATTCAGTACGATTTGGACATCTTTTGTTCCACATCGATAACGGACTCCTAATGGCAGTTACTGATGAGTACTATATAATGACTTCAAAGGTAACAATAAGCTACTTTGAGCAGAATTCGTAATTGTGGTTACAACCATACTCCGTTTGATTGCTTTACAGAATTGATGAATGGACAAAATCGTCCATAATAATCGTCCATCGTAAAAACGACGAAACGTATACAAGAAATGACTAAGGTGAAATCGTAGTACAATAAATGCCGGGGGGCAATACATGATTTGTATTAATTTTGTACATAAACCAAAATATAACCAATAAACATAAGTATAGTGTAAATAGATAAGAGTATATTAGAGGAAAAGTGGAGAATATATAGAGAAACTTCTACAAGATAATTAAGATGGAAATAACAGGGTATCAACCCAAAAACAGTGCGTGTAAAAACAAAAAAGAAGCAGAGAAGGAGTAGTACTAATAGAAAGGGAATGACCTGATAACAACCTGCTGGGCGGAAGAAAGGATTCCCGAGAAATGGAAGGTGGGAGTAATCGTACCACATTAGAAAGGAGACAAATCTGTATGTGATAATTACAGAGGCACCTTAGAGGAGTGCTGTGAGCAAAGCATAAATGTACACTGCCTATTCATTCACTTAAAAAATGACTTTGATAGCATTGACAGGAATAAGCTTGAGAGGGAAGTGAAACTGATAGAAATACCCGGCAAACTTGTGAGAATGGTGATGTACAATGGACAACTCGGCAGCAGAAGTACACATACCGGATGCCAAATCGGAATATTCAAAGTAAAATCGGGAGTGAGGCAAGGAGATGCACTAATATTCAATGTGACACTGCACTTGGGGATCAGTGACCTTGACAAAGGAGGGTTGGGTTGGGTTGGGTTTACGCCGACGATATACCGATTATGAGTCGCACGCGAAAAAAAAAGAAATGATTAAAGTGTTTAGAAAGATAGAAGCAAGCACGAAACAGATGGGACTCACAATAAACGAAACAAACACTAAATATATGAAGATGTCAAGGGACAAAAAAGGAAGTAATCGCCAAAATGTATACATCAAGGACTACAGCTTTCAGGGCGCCAAGAGCTTCAAGTACTCCTCAAGCACAATTACGAATGCAATAAAGGAAAGAATACAATCTACAAATAGATGATATACAACAATTATGGATAAGGGTTTCACTGAAGAAATTATCGTTATCGTGTGGTGTTATTTATAAGCTCCCAAACATACCTGCTAGAGACTTTATAGCTTCTTTTGAAGAAGTATTGGCACAAGTTACTTTATTGGCTGACGATGTTTTATACGTTGCGGACTTTAACATAGATATGACACGGCAGCTATTTCTGAATTAATTAATACACTGGAGGTGTTTGGACTACACCGGCTAATTAACGAGCCAAGACGAGTCACACCGAAAACTGCCACTTTGCTTGATGTTATTCTGTTCTCCAACGATAAATTAGTGTCTGATAGTGGAGTGTTGGATAATGATTTGTCGGATCATTGTCTGGTCTTTGTCGAGCTGCATACACCACAGGTTGTACCCCTGTTCAAGACATATTGGAATTACGTTGGATTTAACGAGTTCATGTTTTGTGAGCACTTCTTCGCATCATTACCCTGGCGAATTTTATATGAGATTCAGACTAAACATGAAAAAGTTAGATTTCTAAATGAAAATATACTACTGCTACTGGGTCTGGTGCGTAACTTGGTTACAAATACGCATCGCAATTGTGTATTTTCCAAACATAGATCACTTCCTAACCACTTTCAAAATGCTTCTATTATTAACGATTTCTTTATTGATTCGCTTCCCAGCACCAATACCACCGTTGATAATAATAAGTATTCCAACTTAAATGAACGTGTTGTAAACCCTCTCGGATTTTCTACAGTCTCTGAAAGCGATGTTCTGAAGATTTTAAAATCAATTAAATCCAATGCACTTGGTACCGATGGAGTATCGGTTAAAACATTAAAGTACTGTATGCCATTTCAACTGCCTTATGTCACACATGTTGTTAATTTTTGTATTCAAAATAGTGTATTTCCTTCCTTGTGGAAAGTAGCAGTCGTGCGCCCGATACCAAAAGTTGCTAATCCAATCCTCGTTGCTGACCTTCGCCCAATAAGTATACTAACGGCAATGTCAAAAATCATGGAAAAATTATAAATGTTCAGATGCAGCATCACCTGGAAATTAATAACATCATTCCTTCCTTCGGTTCAGTCTGGATTTAGACATGGTTATAGTTGTACGACTGCTTTAAGGTGTGTAATCGCTGATATAATGGGTGCAACAGATAGAGGGGACATACTTGTTCTATTGGACTACACGAAAGCGTTTGATACAGTAAATCACAACCTCTTACTAACTATTTTAAAGCACTATGGGCTGGAAGATTCGGCAGTTTCATTCTTTGAGAATTTCATTAGGGGTCGACAACAATATGTGCAGCTGTCTAACCATCAATCTAATATACGTTTTCTGTGCTCTCCCCAACCCTGTTCTCAATTTACACAGCACCTTTAAGTAATATTTTTAAGTACTGCAAAATTCATTTTTACGCAGATAATACTCAGGTGTATATATCATATAAACCTCACGAACAGCAACATTATCTGAATTTATTGAATACAGAATTGTCAGATCTGGTGACTGCCGCCAACCATCACAGTTTAATAATCAATCCGAATAAATCAAAAGTCATAATATTTGGGCGAAGGGCGTATATTTTGCGTTATGGTGGAGATGTAAAGGTAACGGTCCACGGATCAACGCTCCCCACTGTATCTGAAGCACGTAATTTAAGGTTGGTGATGGATTCGGATTTGAGATTCCGGCGTCACGTGTCAAGTATGCTTCAGGGTGCGTTTGGTAAACTAAAAGCTCTGTACCCCTTTCGCCATCTTCTCACTGTCAACACTAAGATTTTACTTTGTAATGCGCTGATTTATCAAAATTCTATTTTGGAGATGTAGTGTGGGCCGTCTTTACTTAGGATTGATGAGTAGTGCATACAGAGGGCTCAGAACGTCTGTCTGCGATTTGTTTTTGGGATTAGGAAGTATAACAGAATTTCATATAAGTTAATAGAGGTAAAATGGCTTAATATGATCCGTAGGAGGCAGCTGCATTGTTGTATGTTTTATTACAACATAATTCAGAGAGAAAAGCTGCAATATTTATGTAAAAAAATTCAATCCGCACTGACATTCATAACTTGAACTTGTGGTCCAGGGGAGCTTCAGTTACCAGATTGTAAAGATGTACAATGATTTGCCCACTGAAACGAAACTGCTTGCAAGCGTCTCCTCATTTAAAAAGCGACTGTTTAATTGCTTTCGTACTTGATCAACAGACGGTCATCTTAACTGTTTAAATGTAAGGCGAAGGTACTTTTTTGTTTCTGTTTGTGTTGGCAGAGGTATTTATTTATTATTTAAGAATTTAAATTTTTTTTATTTTATTTTTTTATATTATTATTACATATTGTTTTTAGTTTTGTTAAATTTTCGGTCAAGTTTGTTCGTTTGTTGCTGAACGTTGAAATTATATAAGCATTATTATAATGGAATTTAAGGTTAAGTTGAGCAGTGTCTCGGCACTGAACTTCGCCATTTCATTATTATTATTATTATTAAGAGAGTCATAGCTGATACCGTAGTATCTTATTTGAGGTGAAACCAGCAATAATTCAAAATAATTAATCAAGAACTTAACGAGTGCGCGTAGTTGTGGTAACTTAGCAAAAAAATTGTATATGAGAACGAAATAGTGATGGTCATAACCGACGATTAGCACAGTGAATTCAAATAAAATATACAGCCTGATTCAGAGTAAGCGCCTTATTTTTTTTTAAGCTACACTATGGGTACTACTTTCAACATATTTGGCAGTAATATGTTTTAGGACATTCTCTACACGATGGTGATATCATATTTTCAATTGGTCGAATTATTTCAAAATGGCGACTGTCAACTTTTTTTTTTTAAATGGAATGCCAAATTTTTTTTTTTTTTATTGGGATCCTAAAAACATTCTTTATACGACAGTATTGTGTTTTTTTTAAAGTTCCTTTCCTTCCCCATCAAAAAGCACACATTTTAATCTAGTAGCGCATGAATGTTTTACACTCGATGTTATTTTTGTCCAAATATCAAGTAGCGCTAGACACAAAAGAAACATTTAAACTTTATTTTGTAATAAACATCTACTTATTTATTTATTTGGAATAATTCGTCCAATTGAAAATATGATATCACCATCGTGTAGAGAATATCCTAAAACATATTACTGCCAAATATTTTGAAAGTAGTACCCATAGTGTGGCTAAAAAAAAATAAGGCGCTTACTCTGAATCAGGCTGTATATTGCGACGTCCTTTCCTGGTTCGGTCCTAGGAAAGGGGTCTTGGTGCCCTTTTATAAGTTCGGGATGTAAATATTTTAACAGTTATAATCAATATAAGACTTTATTCTACAACCCTTGATTTTTATTTGTTACTATACACAAAATTAAATTTTAAAATAAACTTTGTTTTTATTTAAGTCAAAAGGATATGATTAAAATAACGATAAATTTGGAATAATAAATGATAACAGAACCTTTAAAATTTGCCAAACTATAAATTTCAACAACACAAACGAAAATAGTAGTTGTAGGTTAAATCGTTATAGAACAGATCAGGTTATCACGCTTATTTAAGACAATTTATGATCTGAACAATTCTATGATAAAGAGTTTTTGGTTCAAAAACATGGTATTCCTATTAGACACGTTTACTTATACGCGCAAAAGTGATAGTCAAAACAATTAAAATAGAAAACATTGTTTTGGGCAAAATTCTGTTTGACTTACCAGCAAATAAAAGAAGTTTGGCACACTTATTTCTCCCTTGCAATGCGGCTTTCATGAGTGGTGTAAATCCCAAATTGTTTCTTGAGTCGATCTCTATACCTCTGCAACGCGTTAACATACAATTCAGACATTCAACTTGTCCTAAAATGGAAAATAAAATGCCTCGTGAGACTAAAAATTATTATTAGAACGTGTCGTAGGTAGAAAGTGGTACTTTATTCAACGTTCATATGACAGTAAACGATGTTAGCTGGATTATTCGTGTTGAAATAATGTAGAAAATTGGGTCATTATTTACCTGCTTGAGCGGCGAAATGTAATGGCGTGTTTCCTTCATTGTCGGATATATTTGGATCTAAATTCGGTAGTTGTAATATTTGGTCTAATATTTCCACAGAGCCGTTGGATGCTATGTAACTTAAAGCAGTCTGAAACAAAAAAAAATAATATAAAATATTTTCTTGAAAAGAGCTTCCTAATTTTATTAGGACGTTAAGTGTAGTGCGTTACAAAGTTCTCTCAAGTGAACTTTACGCCCGTGAAAATAAGGCAACAAATTTCATTATCCCCCGAATGCACTATCGATTTTACTCTTTGACGTTTTCACTCAACCTGTTCGTGTAAATGAAGAGAATTATTATGATTAATAGCACAAACAATATAACCGTTAAGGTTTCAATATGATCTTTGAATATATGATTTGTTAGTATTTTAGAGAAGTACGTAATATTCTGCAGATACAGAAATGGTATCATTTGTTTGCTGTTTAATGTCGAGCTTAATTTTAGAATATGTAGAATTAGAATATGTAGAAAGCGAACTTGAGTAATTCCAACTTTACAAAGTACATAAACACGAAGAGGCTGAGATCAAACGATTCGAACCGCGTTCATCATAGACGGTTATATTTTCAGAAGACGTCGTAACTCAAATTTGTAACGTAATGTGGTCAAGTTAAATTAAAGATTTCGGTACATAAATTGGTACCGACAGCTACAACACCGACGTTTTCAAGATCAAACCCTTTTGTAAAACGAATTTTGTTTATGAAAACTTTAAGTCAATCAAAAAAAGTAGAAATAAATGGATACATGACGTGTACATCATTGGCAAACATGTAACTTTCAAGATGTTTACTTTTATGTCGAATGTTCGACCTTTACTAGTAAAACTTGTATTATTTATAGACATAGAACTGGCACGATACTATTTTGTTAAAACAGTTCCAACTACCAAACGAAAACATCGGCCGTTTCTCGTCTAAATAGTTTCCACCCAATGTTTTTTTTGTGGTCACACAAAACCGAGTAGAAACGCGTCCGTAAATACAAATTGCACAATTTATCTTGCCCCTAGATGTAAAGCTACCAAGAGCTACAACAAGGCCCATCTGCATACTCGAAACGGTTGACATTTAGATCCTGACCCGACCCAAACGAAATGCGTTTACACTATCGAACCGTCTGGAAATTCAACGTAGTACCTGTTCTCCAAAGCTACTGATTATGAGAGTTGCAACGCGCACAGAATTGATGAGGATTATTTTGTAATTATTGAATTTACGTTACAGGTTGAAACATTAAAAGAGTTTATAGATAAATACAGTAAAAAAACGGACTAATATGCGGAAGGGAGTGTCCGTTATAGTTAAAAGTCCGTTATATACAATTTTTAATTTGCATTCTATTCGTGTGTTGTAATGTTAGTTTGATAGAAGCATGCTACATAGACTTAAAGTGTTCAATTTTTGAAGTCAAATCTGCGTTATACCTTTGGCATTAAAGTGTTTCTTAAGCCTTCATTAATTCTACTTTAAATCTCAATTTTGACTTAATAAAAACATGAAACTCGATACAGAGATGATGTATCTTTATACGGAATTGTATTAACGCAGACTTCATAAAAATCTGTCAAGTCAAATTTAATGTAGAATTCAAAGAGCTTATGCAGATTTAATAAGAAAGAACCTATGGAAATTTTGTATAACCTAGAAGGAAATTTGATGTAGTTACTCCTAGATGCAGTATTGGTTCAGATCTTATAGAGATATGATGTAGCCTTGAAGAAAGCTCGATTTTGTATAACCTTGACTTGATAGAAATATGTTGAAGACTTGAGTCAAAATTGATAATGACATGACGCCCGTTTGTTAGAGATTTACAGTACGATGGATGGAACCGTAATGCACCTATTAAAAGTAGGGTCATAAAGATGAAACAAATTTCAAAGAATTAGAATATGGCAGGAAGAAAAAAACAAGTATGCCTAAAATATTTAACAAAGAATACAAAACTTAATATGTTTCTGAGATTTAAATTACGAAAACATTGTATATAGATATTCTACATTTGACTGTTCATGCAGAATGTCCATTGAGGTTCCATTCTTTGTGTGGCATGTTGGGCCATCTTAGAAGCACATGGCGTCCACGTCCATATCGCTGAATTCAGGCCAAAAGAAATTGGTTATTATGATGCCGCCAGTCCGAAATCGACACCAAATAGTAACTTTTTGTGGACACATTCCAATTTAGCGAAACTTTGAACTCTTTGGTCAGTAGGATCTTGTACGGGTTAGGCCCAAATCCAGATGCAAAATTCGCCAAGTTGTGGTCTTCGAAAGCCTCCGAGTTTATTTATGCGGCAAGGAATCGACTACTTCGTATTTTCTTGCACATTTACACGTATACGTTCCTTTGACGTACGAAATTGTAACATTTCCGGGGTTTAATAAAGAATTTTCAAATTTTTAAGACTTCGATTTCTTAAAAAATATCAAAAGATTTTCAAAAATGTTGAATCGGTTTTTAGAAAACATTTTGCGAGGTCTAACGCCTTTTAGATGTTGACAAACTTTCAGTCTGCCTGCAGGAAACTACGACAATGCACTGAAATGTCAGGTGATATCTTGGCGAAACGTCTACCCCTTTCCAGTAGTTCTAGGTTTGGCATTTAGGATCTTTCCGGTAGAAATTTGTTTAGGATTTGCTTTGTTTGCACATTTTCCCTTTGTACAAACTCCACTGTAACCCTCTAGCTCGGACTTATAAGTAAATTCTCCTTAAATAAGAATGCTACTCTTTGAAACTTGAAATGCCACTGCATTAACTTCACTTTTCCAATCAAGATCAGGAACTTCACTTCCCAAGTGAAATACCTGGCCATAGCTTTGCAAAATTGTGTAAAATTTCTCTGATTGAGAAGGTACCTTCTTCTTTCTGATGACTTTTTCTACCCCTGCAAACACTCTATCGGGCCGAATAAATGAATGCCCAGGAACATGGAAAATGCATGCTATTTTTTCAAAAATTGAAGGCGTCTTAATGGCACTTTCCAAGCATTAACATAAGAATTTTTGTTTTGGCCTCCACAGCAATCTGCAACGCATCGTTGTAGAGAAATTCCTGTAAAATCTATATGTTGCAGTTTGTGATAAACACAAGACGCTATTTCATTAGATCCTTTTGGTAAATCATGTTCTCCCCAGATGTATAAAAACGTGTTCCCTTTTAAAGGATCCTTGGAACTACCTTGGACGATAGAAAAGTTATATAAATAAAATTTCCGGCCTGATCAGGAAGTTTTGGAATAGCGAAATTTTTTTGACAGTCAAAGCTTATAGTGCATATTCCGTCTTTTTTTTTTCTTCAATAGGCTAAAAAAGCCTTTGCACGAAGCTTATGGATCCTTTTTTCCGTTAAAAATGCAGTCTTTTTAGATTCAACACATTTTGAACACATGCCCGTTTGTGGTGTTCCAAACCCAATATTTAAAAAAGTTATAAAAACCTTACGGAAGTAGCATTGCTTAACACTAAGGACGGGATCTTGAACTTGCTTTTCGTACATTCTCCATATTTTTGAAATGGAGAGATCACTACTGAGATAGTACCTTCGACTTCGTTCCCTGCAGTAATGGGATTCTGTGCATTTGAATTGCTTAATAAAAGTTTAATAGCAGCGCAATTTGAAGTAAACTTAGCAGTCTTTTGATCACCACCCCTCTTTTCTTGTGGAATCTTACCCTCAAGGAACTAACGTCGTGCCACTCCTTCTACCCTGTGTCTAGTAATACTAAGAACTTTAAGAAATGTTGGATGGCAAACATGCTTTGTAGTTCCTTAATATCCAAAATCAAAAATGTTAAGGAAAACAATTTTCCTGTCCTGCTGTTATTGACTGGTTTTCTTTGTCTGGTTAAATTCACCTCAATATATTTTAGTATAAAAGAATCTTGTTTTAGATTCTTCGGGGTACTGTGTATCGCGTTTGGAAATATAATAATTTCTTTACTAATTGTTGATCATCTGAAGGACTTTGTATTATGCCCACATGTAGGCATCTTCGGAGGAGTAGCTGATGAATATCTGCAAATAAATATTTGAGCACATACTCTCTAAAATTTACCGCCATTACACACCTCATTATTTTATCACTGTTTCTTTTCCACGATATTGGTCGTATCCGTATATTGGCGTTTCCGTGGTTTATCAGTTTCTTCTTCAACGTTAATTTCCATATTACACGACGTAATAACCGCAATGAACAAAAATTCAGCGTTTCTATAAGATAGTTAAGGAGGTACCATCAACCAAATCAACCATGCGCGGTGGATTCGGCCGCTTCTGATAGTTCTGATGCACAAACAGCAGTAGATTTGGCCGATTTTGCAACTCAGATCAAAATTTAGCCAACAATTTCCATGGGATATAGTCTCTTTTGACACAAATGATAAATTGAAAACATGCAGAGAGCCATCTAGAGTTGATGATGTATTAAATAAATAATATTAATAGTATGACTTAAAATTCTCCGTTATATCCGAAGTTCGTTCTAACAAGGTTTTGCTGTAATTTAAAAAGGAGGAATTCTAAATTTAATACAACTGACGGCATCACTATCTGACGGGATTTAACTTGTGTTTATTTGAATAAGCAATGCACGTGATGCAGTTTCCAAGGTTCACCAACCTTAGCAGTTTCAGATTTCTTGACGTCATAAATAACCTATCTACAAACATATCCAGGTTTAATTTTTTTAAACGGTATGGAACACCCTTACAAAACTGATACCATTCATTGAATCGTAACAATGTATAAAACTGTCGACGTTCTATTTCACAATGAACATGTAACACACGTTCGTACTTGTAAATTACGTTTTACCCTTTTCACATAACCGCTTTACATCGTAACCGCTAACAAGAGGGTCCTTGATACAAAGGGACGACCGCAACGATAAGTCAGTCAAGGAAACCACAGAATATACCGAGTTTATTGTGTATGTGTCCCCGCGACATCGAATGCATTACCGGCCCTGAAACACCCGGATTGTACTTATCCTTGCAGGGATTGTTTGCAGAGATCTAGAACGTCAAATCCTCGAGTAAAGCGCAGGTCATAGCAAACCATTCGTTTTAGAGATATCCTC